CATATCTCCCCAAGCGCATTTCACCGTACGCAGGACACCCTGGTTGATGAGCCCTGCAACCCCACAACAGCCAAAGCACAGGCACTTCCACCATTGCACAGACCTACCACAACCTAAGGAGAGGGTGAGAATTAACTTCATGCATACTGATGATCAATTTTCACTTTCTCTTTTGATCTGGGAGTTTAAAACCATTAAGAAGGGGATTTGCAGAGTCAGCTCTTAGTAACTGGTCCTTTGGTTTGGCCGGCTGCACACAGTTTGCTCATTTTGTTTGTCTATCTGCTCAGGTTTCACACATTTTGCCACTGATCTGGTGTTAAAAACCTTGATGCCCTTCTACATGCACCTAGGCATACAAACTCCACCCCCTCTCCCAGTCAAGGCTGGGATGCTTTATAAGTTTCTGGCATGGGAAAAAAAAATAATCAAAGCATATCGGAAGACATGGCATTCTTCTCTACAAGGTGATACCAAGTTTGTAAACTAATGTTCTCTGAATATGCAGTTTGAGAATATGGGTCTGTCTTGGCTTTGGGGTCAAAGCACTGGTGGAAGTGTACTTGAGCCATTTTGGCCCATGGTCAGTCAAGACGAACATTTTAAAATTCCACCCATTATAAATAATAATATTCATAATAATAAGTCAACATTGATCACACAACATCACTTGTTATTGCTCTGGAGCACTGCTTAGATGACGAGTGCCTTCTGTGCCACCTTGCTTGTTTTCAGATGGACCTGACAGTCTCACACAGTACAACTGTAGGCCAACTGTACAATGACAAAAGAAAGGAACAACAGAGACAAATGATGAACACTGGGAAGAGATGGTTGCAGTCTCTTCTAATATACCCCAGTACCATGCATTTGGCTCCACAAACGATAGAGAGTCTAGACAGAGGCTTTTAAATTGGCAGGACTCTGCCATTGCCATTATGAATCTGAACCACAAGTATGCATCATACACACACACACACACACACACACACTTTTTTCTGAAAAAGAAACATTGAGTCTTGTTTTCACTGAGTACACTCAAAGTAAAACAAGATTTTTGGTAACTTATCTGCCCAATGTCTTTTTTTTTAACCTATATAACAATTGTAATGTCACTACTTACCTGAAAGGAACATTCACTTTAATTACAGTTCTTTAAAAACTCCATGCTTTGAATTAAAAAAAAAAGAAAAGCCTACCCTTCTCCCCCAAAACAAAACAAAAAACTGTGTGTAGTCATTCAAAACTGACTCTTAGATAAACTTGCAGAAAGGTTTCAGAGATTGTCTTCCCCTATGAATCCTTTCATCAACACAAGGGGTATTAGATTTTACTGGCAGACAGCCCACTGTCAGCAGTGGATGCAAGCCACCAAAGACATGGACTTGCATGGTAAAATAAAAGACTTATAAATACCGTTATACCTCTTTATTTAAAAAATAAAACAGGGAGGAACTTTTGTAAAAGAATACATCATGCCAACTTCAACCTTCTTCCAAGAAGCAATGTGGTCTTAAAAATGTATTTACATGCTTAAAATAAACTCTAGCTGTTAATCTCCCTAAAGTAATGCTGACTGATTCAGCCAATGAAAACTCAATCTTTGACATGACTGTGGTCAGTAGTGTCTCTGCTTTCTAAGCTTACATGGTTATCAGCATTTTCATTCAAAGGCTGGGCACTGCCCGTTTTACTCTCGGGTTCTATCCCACTGCTTTCCACAACCTTTTGGGTAGGTTCTCCACCCACGTCAGCTTCCATTTCCAGGACATCATGTTCCTTAGCTTTACTTGCCCCATCCGCTGCTTCCTCCACCAGTTCTGCATTGTTGTCTTGATTTCCTTCCTCCATTTTACTTCCCAAATCATCTTCTTTCCTCTTTGCTTGAAACACTTCAACTCCCATCATCCTCAAGTAATGAAGTCTTTCATTCTTGGGCACAAAGGCACGGAGTGAGGTCTTTCCATGCCAACCACAGAGCACAACAGGACACTGGAGGGTATCAAGTTTGCTATGAAAAAAAGAAAGTAAGAAGTGGTAAAACATGAGAAAATTAACCTTGGGAATTTATCAATGCAGAAATAGTTTGCATTTAACACCTATACTCATGATCTCTACTAGAAGAAGTGTTTTATTTGAAATAAAACTAGTAATCCAGCATCTCTTGAAGCATCAACGAGGACAGGAAATACAATCTGCCTTTTAAAATGAC